CTTCTGAGAAAAGACTTGAAAGGTGAGTGATTGTGTATAGTTATCATTCAACATGTTTAAATAAAAGCATGCTCTTGTGTATTCAGTTTTACTTTAAAGTTTTATTATTTATTTATTATAAAGTGGGAAGAGTTCATTTGGGCAACACTGGTTCTGGAGTAGAGTAGAAGCACTGATAATTTTTCTCCTAGACAACGATGAACAAATTAGTTTTTTTTATAAGAATTCAAAGGTAGAAGAAGATTGTGAACATAAAAGTCAAATACAGCACCCAAGGTGCATTTCAGCAAAATTATTCTGGAGGTGAAAGCTAAAGATTTCAGAGCTGAGAAAACTCAAAACAACTATTTGCACCTTAAAGGTCCAGAGTCTAGGATTTAGTGGCGATTGCAACTAACTGACCTGGGAATGACAACGGGCTGTGAAGAACTTTTCATTCTCTGTAACGAAAACATAAATGTGGGATTAATAAAGTTATCTATCTATCTTATACACTTAAGAATGCCTATGAATATTATATTCCATTTCCAACAATAGAGCCTCCTTAATGTTACACACTGGACCTTTAAATCAATTCAGTTTTGGTAAATTCAGTAACCATGATTATATGAGTTCTTCACAGCTGTGGATCATGGGAATTGTAATATTTTGACTTGCTTTCTCTAAAACAAAGTTGTAATATTAAAACTGGTTTCCAAAATATAATAAATGTGGTCCCAAAGTACCACTTTGAATTTATGTTCTGTTGGCATGTACACAGTAAATTTAAAATGTGGCCAGTTTATTACAGATGGAATATTTATTGCCTTTTTTTTTGTACAGTAGTTTACATTTGAAATACAAGAACACAACAACCGAGTGCAAACACTGATGAATTGTTGCCAAGACCATTAAAAATGATCCAGGTTGGACAACACTGTATCACTCTTTTATTCTCTATGCAGATGATGCCGCTCTGCCGTCACATTGGGATGACATGAAAGGCGACATCCTCAAGCTGTTTCCTTTGGCTGCGGGATCCAAAGAATACAACGATGTGGAGACAGAATTTCAAAAGACCGGCCTTTCAGCAAACATCATCAGTGTATGTTGATTATCAGAAGTGGGTGTTTGGCCAATGCATGAAAACGACACTAAGGTCGTTCCAGGAAGTTCAGTTTGAGAAACAACAATGAGTTGGAAGGTTTTAACACTAAAACATTCACAGACTCTGGAACATTTTCTCAGTGGCAATTATTTCATATTTCTCTACCAGTAATGTGCACTGGCAGATATTGGATTAGATATCATCTAACCAGATGACGCTGCATTCTGTGTTAGCTCCCCAACAGTCCTCATTCAGAAGACTGAAAGATGCATTTTCTCACACACGGCTGAAGTTGTTCTAAGCAAAGTTTAAGTATAACTGGATGGCCGCACACAATCAAATTTAAACACTCAAACCATTTGTCTGTAACCCTCAGAATGACCTTAAAATCACTGATATAAAGTATGAACACAATATAATAACATGAGAAATACCACAATTGGGTAATCTATCAGATTCATATTGTTGATTGTTATATTCAATAAGATTATTTCCGTAATTTACTATGTCATTTACAGAATTACTATTACTATTATTATTATTATTATTATTATTATTATTATTATTATTATTATTATTACTAGCGTTTAATGAATGAAATTATGAAACAACAATCTGTAGTCACCAACAAAATCTTATGGTGGTATGCTGTAGGAGAGATGAAGATGTCATCCCCCTTGCTAGCAAAATGACTAAATTACATCCTCCCTTTTTAACCTGCCAGCCCACCTCTCCATCCCATGTACCAGTGTCACTTGTAGGTGGACCACTGTCTGGGTCTGAACCCAGATGCCGTCCTATTCTGACCAGGTTCAAGTATTTCATCATCATTATTCAGTTTTGTGCAGCTTTTCTGGCTTTATAGCATTGCTTTAGCAGACCAGAATCCTCTCAGACCAGTAGCATGCCTCATACATATTTATAGTCTCAACCCATTTTATTTTAAAATGTTGTTTATCATTCATAATCCCTCCAGTTCAATGTGAATGTGGTCCAAGGAAGGAAAAGAAGTGAAGGCTGGCCCGTGTGGTCCAACAGACGAGCTACTGTAGCTCAAACTGCTAGAAACAGCTAGATAGATAGACTTTATTAATCCCAGAAGGGAAATTGGGTCGTCATAGCAACCAGGTACATTAAAATACAGTAAA